AGAGTTCGAACTGTAACTTTGACAGAAGAGAACTCTGCTATTAAAAAATGCGGTCGGTGCTGGAGACCCACTTGTGTTGCTTTTATTCCCAATTGCCTCTCTGGCGAAAATTTCTCCCCTTATTAATAACCAATGAGCCTAACTAGAAATAGTGAGCGCTGATCAATTTGCTTATCAGCTGAATTCGTGGAATACGAAATTTAATTGACAAATATTTCTTCTATTTAGGGAGGAAATAATTTAGTTTCCCTTTCCCTTATTTCTGCTGGAGTAATTAAAAAAACTAGAAGCTCAGACAAATCTCAAAATAACAAAGGGACATCCGAGTTTTGCCAGTGCCAACCATTCGCAACCATTTTTGAGCGAAAAAATGTTCCCAAATAATTCTCAATCGCTCAAATCGCTCAGATTACAAGACAATAGAGCAAATTATAATAGAATATTAGAATGAGTGGTGTTTGAAGAAAATTTTGCGAGAAGTTTTCTTTCTTTCGTAAATAACAAAGTAATAAAAATTAAAGACGATAATAGCTGTTGAATAATAAAAGTTCGCGTACAATTCGATGGCTGACGTCGGAAGTGTGACCTGAGTTGTGCTGTTGTGCCACCACTATTCATTATCAGTGAACCGTTTTGTTGAAATAGTGAAATTTTGTGCATTGCCGTCGTCGACATCATCGATCAGCTCTATTGATTTTGAGGCTTTAATACGTAAATTTCTGGTAGCAGAAAGACGATAAATTTTAAAATGGCCCATTCAAAATTTTCTGAAATTTTTTTTTTAAAAATATTTTTTAAAATATAAACTAATAAAATTCTTTATTTTTTATTTTCATTTTTCCTACGTTTATTATTAATGATAGCTTAAACGATTGTTGTTTTGTTCAGTTCAGTTTAGTTTATCATTTTCAATTTTATTTTATTACAGTAATCAAATTGACGAAATTTGAGAAAATTTATTTCATTTACACGAATAAAATCCTTTTTTAAACTTATTCTTCCAAGAAATATGAGTCGTCGTTTATCACAACTAATTTTTTTTTTTCTAGGAAAAACATAAATCTTTATAATATTACTTTATGAAAATGCATGGCGAAGCGATTGATTTGAAACGATAAGTTTAATTATTTATCTTTTGAAAAAGATGGAAAAAAAACGAGAGAAAGAGGCTGAAAATTGACGATAAGAAAAAACTAATTGTATAAAAGTTAAATTTAAAAAAATGACAAAAAGCTAAGAAGCGGAACAGGACGGCTATTTCCAGTGGACTCATGGAGACCATTTTCATCTTTTGACGAAAATAAATTTGCCATTAAAATTGACACTCCTATATTTTTTTTTGTAGAGCAAATCTAGCTAAACGAAAATGGTGAAGCAAGAAAAAGAAAAACAAAATAGGCTTCGAGGGCTAATCGAAAATTAAAGTATGAAATATAAATTTACACATTAACTTTATTTTTTATTATTTTAATATATAAAAATTTATATTTATTTATTTAAATTTTTATAATTTATCTAAATTTATTTAGATTTGATATAAAAATTATTTTTATTATTTTGCTTATTATCATGTATTAATTTTTGTTATATTGTACTTAAAATCTGAAAAATATCGTTATTTTCTATAAAAATAAAAAATACTTCAAAAAAAATTAAATTTATAATTTCAATGATTTTTTAAATTTTAAACAAAACTATGTAATAAAATAAATCAAAAAATGATAAATTTATTTTAACAAATAATTATGATTTCATTTTTTCTATTAATTTTGATACATTCATCGTATACATATAAATATTGTTTAGCACGGCTTTTGCCTCATAAAAATTAATTATTACTTTAAGAAGATTAAAGCTAATCCTTTGCCGTCTGAGTAAAACACTATTAGTAAAAGATTATCCGTAAGCAATTGTAAAATTATTTGAGCAAATATTACAAATAAAACTCAGAAATTAACTCAGCAAGAATCGTCTGGAAATATTTTCTAATGCTTTTGGTACTTTAACAATCACCTGGAAATGTTTTCCTATGTTTTTGGTACTTTAACAACCACTTGGTGTTTTCTAATGCTTTTGGTACTTTAACAATTAAAAACTTCAACTTTACACAAAAAAATAAGTTTTGAAACGAATCGACTGCACCGGAAAATTATCAGAGCGATATTTATAAAAATTCAATTCAAGAAGCGATCCTCTCTCTTAATTAAATTTAAGCCAAATCGCTTATAATTCGATATTTAAAACGGATTAAATTTCAGGAAAGAAACTATTTTTTTCTATTCATAAAAAAATATTTTTATGAATTAAATTATAGAAAAAGAACTAATCAAAAAATGAAATTATCTGTCTTTCGAAATGACCAAATTTAACCAAATTAATTCGGCAGATTTTATGATGAAATTATGGCCAAAACAAGCGCTCCAATCTCACGCAAAATGTGATTCGATTTTATTCATTTCTATTATTTTTTATTGCTTTTCATCAAATGAATTACAACGGAAACCGGTTTAATTTTTCTCAGCAAATTCTCTCATAAGTTATTCGACACCTTTAGTGTTTTGAAAGTAAACTTACAACTATTCTATTATCGCACCAATAATCATTCTTTCTTTTTCTAAATTTTCAACTTATAAATATTTTATTTTATTTTAAAATAAAATGCATAAAATAATTACCGCAATAATTTCCAGAAATTTTCGCTAGCAAAAATAAAAATCGAAATATTTATTTATTTATAGTAATATGGTCGATCGTGATTGGTTTAAATTTTTTACAAAATTACTAGGAATTAATATTGCGTAGACCAACAATATTTATTGTCTAGCGAAGTATAAAAATTAATTGAACACCGCCATTTTATCGCTATCGAAAGAATTTTCTGTGAAGAGAAATAATTTCGCTGAAAAAAGTATTAAAAATTTACTTTGATGTTCTTCCAACTCTTTCTTATAAACGTTTTTAACAATAATACAACAGCGATAACATTATGGAATTTAAAATATATTAACAAAATTATATATTAAAGCCAAAATAAACATAAAAATACCATCCAAATTAAAGAATTGCTTAAAGAATAAAAAAGTATCTGAAAAAAGAACTGCTTTATAAGTTCACTGCTTGAACAATAAAAAAATGAAAACTGGAAAAGAAAGATTAATAAAATATGATATGTTAAATATATTAAAGTTGTCAAAAAATAGTCAAATAGTTGATTCGACAAAACAGCGAGAAACAAAGTCGACAAAATAGCGAGAAGCAAAAACTCGACAAAATAGCGAGAAACTTGAAAAGTTTGAAAATTTTGGAAATACAAATAGAGTTGCAAAAAAACTAAAATACTTTGATTAAAATGTGTGGATTTGTAAAATCTATTTGTAAAGCTATATGGATTAACAGTGACAACGAGGAAATGTTCAGTTAAATATACAACATTGCAGATTACAGACAGAAAATACAAAAAGCATTCGCCATTCAATCTTCTATCAACTTTCGTCTTTGAAGCGAACAGCAAATAGCAAATAGTGGCAAATCTTCCATGAAAGAGAGAGAGAGAGAGAAATTTATGGAAATAATAAAGAATTTTTTCCGAATGATTCTTCTGAAGCGATACTTGAATTAACTTTTTGGAATAAAATTAATAAATTTGATTTTAATTAATTAATTTGACTGATAAGGAAATTATGAAAAAAATTAGGCGATAAGGAAATTCGAAGAAATTCGTTTAATTCTCTGAATAATAGCTGGAAAATACTTCGCGGAAAAAAATAGACTTTTCTCTTTCGATAAAATGAATGAAAATAAAAACTATGTAAAAATTAATGTAAATATTTAATACTAAAATATTTGAACAACGTAGTTTCTAGTTAATTGATTAAATCAAATTAATTAGCACTTATCAAACAATTGGCAGAAAGAAGAATATTTGAAATTGTTAAAGTTGTTCTTAAAAATAATAATTGTAATGACACAATGGATTTAATCGAATAAAAATAAAACGATATAAAACAAATAAAAATAAAAAAAAATAAAATCTTTTATAATAAAAAATTATTTCACTTCTCTCATTTCAATGTTCAATTAAAATATTAAAAATTTTAGAATTATTAGAAGAGAATATTTCTGCTGCGAAAAAAGAAGACACTTTACGATTATATAGCCAGCAGGGATTCTCAATTGATAGGGCAAATTTAGTTGGTTAACGCTCACCATATCTGACTGCGGTCATTTTATTAAGTATTATTGTGATAAAAAAAATTTTGGAAAAAATCACTCAGCGATAGAAAAACAGAGATGCCAGCGCAACCTGGATTTTTAAGAAATTCATTTATTCCTATCTCAACTCGAGAAACTCGAGAAAATGAACAATCACTCGACTATCTTATCGATATGATAAGATGGAATATTGGCAAAAAAAAACGACAATAACGAAAGATGCATTGGAAAGGGAAGGAAGGCTAGGAAAGCAAGAAAAAATACAAAAAATAAACGGAAATGAGGAAGAGGAACGGAAACTAGAATTTGTCGAGTATTTAAGCCAAACGAGCGAAAAAAGATATGATAATGATATGATAAACAAGGGCGATTCAAGGCTGCTGCCTTGATATCTAAATAAGATTTAAAAGCAGCATGCCGTATGACCCTTTGTCGGCGCTTTTAATCGAGAAGTGCGAAAATAAATGCCAACTTACTCGTCTATTATTCTTTATTAAGCCAAGAAATAAAATATATCATTTATTTTTTTTTTAATTTGAAATTTTTAAAATTATTTTAAAATATTAAATACGAGTCTGAATGGTTGTCGCTCAGCTTATCATCTCGAGCACCAAGATTCACATACTAACTTCGACTTTTCATTTAAAAAATCCCACCGTTGCTAGCAATCCATCCATAGTTCTATCACTAAATAACTTAATGGCGAAAAATTTTTCATCGCATTAGCAAACCGACCAGCGAAATGAATCAAACGAGAACTGATAAGTGCTAACCACTTAATTAATTAACAACATTATCTTTATCTTCCATTATCATATCAGTTCCAATCCCAATAAGATTTATCGTTATCAGTTAATAAATAAAAATAATTAGAAAAAAAAAATTTTAATGGTTTTATTCAAAATTGTTGTTAGATCGGTCAACGATGAAATATTTTGGCTGAAATCGAACGAAACAATTGTTTTGATCGATAGACAACGAATAAAATACTAACTTCTTCTAAAATTTATTATTATAAATATATTGTAAAGATAAACAAAATCAAGAAGAAAAGAAATCGCTTCAGCAAAAAGCCAAATGAATTAAATCTAAGGCATCTGCTGCTGCTGCTGCTGCTGCTGCTGCTACGGCCTCGAACGTTCGTTGAACTGCACTGCCAACAACTAATGAAAATCCTTCATTCTTCCCACAACTCTCCTCGTTCCGTTAACTTAACAATTGTCAATGATTTCAGCAAAAAAATAATATTTCTCTTATTTGATTTCAAAAAAACTGCTAGTAGAATATTTTTAAAATAAACTTTTTGACTCGTTCCACTCGCTCTACTCTAAACGCGAATCTTTTTCCTATTTTTCGTAGAGAAATACAACACCACCTGAATTGCAGCGCCTCTGATGGAAAGATTTCGCTCTCGTCCATTCAGCGACGAAGCACGAATTAATGGCCTAAGCAATAATACTACTCGACCTATACTGCCACCACATCAATTATTTGAAATATGATCTATTTTTTCTAGAATTTCTTAAATTTTACAAGACATTATTTATGTTTGCGCTATGATACAATTCAGACTTTTCTTTGTCCGAATGCAAATAAATTATCCGATAGGAAAAAATTGCTTAGAAAAAATTCATAATATATATTATAACTGATAAAAAATCTGCTCAACTCAATTATTTACGCCTTGCAAATAAATTTCATAATCTATTTATTTATTTAAAACAATATATATATAAATATATATTACATTAAAACAATATGACAGACTATATACAAATAAAGTACCAATCCTCGAAACTACCAATACATCAAACTTTTAATTTCTATATTTTTTTGATGAGAGGAGTCGCGCATTTCCATTGTTTTATTCCATTAACAAGGATGTCATCCACGTCAAGAGAATCCAAATAGGCGACCTAAATTTCTGATATTAAATTCCAATATTTTTTTTGTATTTCTTTAAATTTCCAAAATTTTCTATAAAATTTTGCATCAAATATTAGAAAACAAAAAAATATCTGCAATGCATATTATTTTGCCAACACTATTGAAAACATTTGTAGAACATTTGAAAAGCTTTTCAAAGCTTTGGATTCGGTTAATTGAACAAAAAAGAAGCTATTTTCGTTTATTTCTTATTAGAATGATTGTTTAACTATTTGACTTGCAGTTAAAAATTTTAACCAAGTAATCATTACGGATCGGGAGAAGCATAAGTGGATCACTATGACCGGATTTTTTACTGATAGACTTATTCTTGTCAGTAACAAAACCGAATCCTTGGATCTAAGCATGATGAACCATTATATATATATGCTGCTTAATAATATAACTAGGAACACCAAAAAATGATAATTAAACAATGGAAACAAAGAATCACCGTGGACCGAATATACTGCACTGCTTTATTTACATGAATAGGATCACAGTTTTTTTCAACATAAAGACATCGCCAAATAGCACCAGCTAATGCTGCATCGCTGCTTAGGAAACCCTGAAATTTATATCATCAAAATTTTATAAAATCTGTTATTTTTCCGAGGATTAAGAAACAATACCAATATTTTCATTTCTTTCTTCAAAACAAATTAATTTAAAACCTCATCATATTCAAATAAAGTTTGAAGATGTAAACCATGCATTTTTTTGATTTCAGCCTTTATGACGCCAGATTGTACCTCTTCTCCCGACTCTTGCTGGAAATTTTATATTTTAATAATTTCTTTAATTAGATTTTATATTCAATAAAAATGAAAAAAAATGAAACTTTTTGGAAATCTGCGTCTGAAATATAAACGTTTCATTTGAAAAAACAAAAAAAAAATGAAAGATAAAGCGATAAAAAACAAAAAAAGAACAGATTAATTAAAATTCGGATTGGAAATTTTGAAAAGTTCTAGAAATTCTCAACAAAATTCTTTTCAATGAAAACGGCTTCAAAAATGGAAAAGACGGTCAAAATTTGTTATTTTTCCGAGAATTAAGAATTCAACAAATTAAAACCAACAATGATTATGGGAATGCGATTATCGACATCAAGCCAAAATGCTGATAAAACACCATGTCTAACACGTAAATAGGCTTTCGCCTCGAGAGATACGTGAAGTCTTAGCAAAGCCATCCTAAAATCATTTTCAGACAAAATCGCGTTGCAAATTTGGCTTATTTTATATAAAAGACTTTTTTAAACTAATTATTTAATAAATTCATATAGATGAGGGGATCGAATTTTCAATAATGAAAATATATTCATAAGAATATTCCATCTAATAAAATACCAACCATATATGCATTAAAGTCAGCTTGAACCACGAAGTAAAATGATCGGGAAGACCAAAAGCTGAAAAATAATATTGCAAAAAAAATGCATTACTGATATGAAACTCGATTCTAAGTAATCCTATAAATAATAGCAAAATATTTCCACAAATATTAAATTTTTAAAAAATTTGGTATAGTTGGTGAGGTGGTGAAAAAGTTATCTTAATGAAAATATTTTTACAAAAATTAAATTAAAATAATAAAGATAACTCACCATCGCATAACTGAGAAAACGAATACCGATTGCAACAATCATAACAAAGTTGTGCCGAAGCCTTATCTAAGAGCTAAAAACAGTCAAAAAAAAAAAAAAAATTGAACTATTCTTGAAAAACAACAAAAAATAATAGATAATCTTTTGCTATAATTAAAAATTATATAGTTAAATTAAAAATAAAAAAATTTAAAATTCTAAAAAAAATCCTACTATTAGAAAATCCATATTTTTAAAATTTATATCATAAATTATGATTTTGATAATTCCTTTATCTAAAAAAATAAAACGCAAAAAAACAACTGCAATGTTTAGGAGAATAAATAAATATAGAATTCGTGATTTTTCACTTCTGGTGGTCAGCGATTGCGTTTAACTAACAAAGCCCACTTATTCGTCTATTTTCATATAACTTTACTGTTACCTCAGCAGTTATCCTATTTATCCTAGTTTACAGCCCACATCGTTGCTCAATTATTTCCCCATATTTCCCAAGAGAAATATAACCAAATGTAACCGATAATTTGGAAATCTATATGAATAGTGAAATAGAATGCATAATTCTAATGGTGCATATACACCAATTTTTCTCTTTTCGATTAAAACCACAAATAACTTAAAAAGAAAAACTCACCAGTTTAAGTTGTGGGTCCAATTTTGTAAGTGGGTCCATCTTTAATTTCCTTTTGATCGACACTGAAATATTTCCAATAAATCGACTAAAAAGATTCGAAGTTGATTCTTTTATTAAAGCTGCTTGAACATAATGGTCAACGTCCTTCAAATATTCACCGGAACCGTTTCTCTTTTCCTAAATTTTATAAACGAATTTATTATTTAGCAAATTCAAAAGAATATTCTTCTTATTAGAAGAATCTAAAATATTTTGTTCGAACCTATTTCATTCCTATTTTCATGATTTTTCTTTCTTCATAATTTAATAACTTGCAAATAAATATTTACGGTGCAAAGTGACTGAGAATTGATCGAGACGGGGAGAATTGGAATTGGGACCAATTTCGAGCAGTTCATATAAGTCAACTGACGATATACAATTCTCCGCAAAATCATAACTGAAATTAAAATCTTCAATTTTTTTATAAAAACCCCCCACGAGTGAGGAATAAATCGAAAGGGAAGAGGAATGGTTATCATTTTTCATCGAATCACTCCGCTTCACCTTCATTTTATTCACCATTCATTTACCCTCTCAATCGGCCTCACTCGCGACCAGCTTTGTTCCGCACCAACGGTCTTTCTTCTAGCAACTTTGTGACGACTGTCAGATCCATTGACTTTGGACGAAACTTTGGACAAACTTAAATAATCATGAGGAAAAGTAATGTGATACAACAATGACCCACCCACCCACATATACAGCGAATGGTAGCCTATTCACAAATGAAGGAAATGCCGGCGCCGCCAGTTTCGAAAAACGACGAATTTCAAATCCATGAGCTCCTAATTTTATAAACATCAACCGAATCAAATCAAATCCACAGACTATTTTCTGACCTGAATGATCTAAAGAAATCTGTTTCAAACGATCGCCGAGAATTGCGAATTTCTTCCTAATTTTAAATAGTCAAATAAAAAATATATTAAATAAATTTTGACAAACAAAAAAATAATAGCAATTAATTTCAAATATTTTATATCGCAATAAATTGAGCAAGAAATATAAAATTATAAAGGAATTGTAAGGAAAAATACATTTGAGGTTTTTTTTTTGTTTTCGAACCATAAAAAAGGCCAAAAATATTCATTTAATAAGCCATTAACGGGCCGATCTTAATTATTTAAATAAATATATAATATGTACAAAATTACTTTCCAAATAATAATAATTTCAAATAAAATATTTCTTAAATAATCAACTATTCGATTTTCGGTAAATATAATACCAATTTAAAGCAATTTAATCTTTTCAGGTAAATAAAACAAAATAACTAATGAGGGATGAACATTTCGAAAGGATAATAAATGATATAAATCGTCGTTCCATTTCTATAACATTTCATTCTATTATTTATGATGTTTAACATAAACTGTTATCATTTAAATGAATAAATATCATGGCAAATCATTTCACAATTAACGAAAAAAGAAGATCGATTATAATTGGTTCCTCAGTGAAACATTTAAAAAAAATAGTTGCAGAACATAAAAAACCCATAAAAATATACAAATACAACAATAGAATAATATTAACAACCATATACAAGTACACAGCACTACTAGTTGATGTCAGTTATTACTTACAGTTAATTAACAAAGCATTAGGAATGATATACTTTTAAATATATAACAATTATTGACAATTATTGAACAATTATTGAATATATAACAATTATTGAACAATTATTTAAAGAACATTTCTAGAACATTAACCTCAACTTATAGAAAATGAGTCATTGCAAGAATATATATTGACCGCTCCAAATCTCAATTGGATTTTTTCTCCAAAAAACTATACATCCCCTAAGAATCCTTAAAATTCACAAGAATGAATCACTTACCTATTCGCTATTGGAATTTCTACTAACAGCCACATTTAATTAAAATAAATACACATTTACAGATTAGGAATCGGGAATTTTTGATGATAATATTTAAAATGTGGTGAAATAAAATGAAGACGATAGTAGTACCTGAGCCTTCTTTCGGTAATGGATTTTTTTCTTATTGTTTTCTCAATATCTTATATAAGTGAATGCTTCCTTCAAGAGTAAAATCCTTCTAAACAGAGTTGAAATATTAGTTACATCATTCCATAATCAATGTAGATAAATTACTAAAGGTTCCTGTAGCCATCATTCGCAGATCCAGAACTATTTCGCTGAGATGTCGACATAATCACTTTTTTAACTCCACTTGGTCTCACTATGTACGAATTGGCCTAAAAAATGATGAAATGAAAAAAAACTCACAATTTTGACCTGCTTTCCCTTATATATATATATATGTATAATTTTTAGAAATTTCAGATAAAAAAAGTGACGAAAAATAGCATTACTTGAGAATCGCCAGACCCAGAAATATAAAATCCTCCTGATGCATTTGAACGATTATTATTGAATACACCTGAAGTAGGTTGTAAACGACCTCCGGTTGATGTATTAACAAAAGTAGATTGCGAATTCCTCGTCACTAAGGATGACTGTGTTCGAACAACAAAACATGGTGACTGGTTTTGTTTGGTTGAGCCAACAATTAATCGATGTGATGCCTGTCATTTGTTTAAAAAACAAGCTTACCATAAAAGAAAAAAAAAACTAGCTAAATGAATGAAAGAAAAAATCATTTTTCTGAGGTCCACAGGAAACAATTTAAATAAAGAGCAAATGGAATTCTTACGAGAGAAGAAGATGCATTTAATCGGCGATCCACTGGAGATTTTGATCTTGAAGAATTTAAACTATTACTGACCGAGAATTTTTCGCCACCCGATGTCGAAGAATCTGCATTTATCATCCTAAAAAATATTATCAAAGAAGTAGAAAAAATTTTGCGAAAACAAGATTTCAATTCTTACTCGTATACTTCATCACCGTAACCACCAAATGTTGATCGATAATCCGTAATTTCTTTAAGGTGAGCAGGCTTTTGACTTCTAACGTATGTTACGAGGATTTTCTGTAAGTTTTTATTACCAATGAATATAAGCTTATATTTATTTAAAGAAGTCAAAGACAAGGATGTCAATAAGAAAAAAAGTAAAATTAAAAAATACCACAATTAAAGATTCCAGTCGTTCAATAGCAATTTTTTCTGTCGTACTGGTTTTATCACATACTGATTTTCTGATATCATTAAATAACTTTGGTATATATGGTAGTACCACAGCTTTAATCGTCTAAAAAAAATCAAACAACCATTTTGTACTACATATTGCATTCCACGCAACTAGTTGAATAATCATGAGTTTGCAAAAAATTTTTGTTTAAAACAGCTATTTCGTTGCATGTAAAAATAGCAGCACTAACAATAAATTATCACTAACCTCCATTCCAAGTTCATTCAACGTAAATACAGACCCGTATATTGTATTTATTGATGCATTATCATCAAACAAAACATTGGTTAAAACTTGTGTTACCCGAGATCGCAAGTTATTAATATTATTATATGATCTAAAATACTCCAAAAAATAAGTTAATTTGAAATTCAAAGATAGAAAAACTTTAAATTTAAAAAACTTCTTTCAAATATTAGCCCAAAATAAATAAATGTACTTATATACAATATATGGTCAAAATTTCAAAATTTACTTGCAAATTGATGCGATAAGTCGACTAGAGAACTCCCTCAGAGCCCAATGATTATCAACATCAGGTCGTGCACATAAATGTCTACTAAGAATACATGATAAAATAGCAGGCAGTAACTGATGCAACTGAAAATAAATTGGAATTTAGAGATTATTCTGAATCTGAAATGGAATATAAAAAATTATTTGAAATTATTCATGCTAAATATAAGAAATTGATGTAATCCGTGCGGTAAATGAATATTTCCTAAGATTTTAAGATGGAAAAAAAATTTACCGCTCTCATTTCAAACATGATCAAATATACAAAAATAAAAATAGTTTTGAAAATATTAAAATCTTAAAAAATGAACCTTAAAAACTTACAGAACGATCCAGCGAAAGGGCTGGATTTAAGGTAAGGCTCTGAATCATTCGTATAAGATAAATTAATAGAGCTAGATTATGTTGAGCAATATTACAACGAATCTAGAATATTAGAATATAAAAGTAATTTTTGCAAATAACAGAAGGGCATGTGAAATCAAGTAATGGATCAACTAATTCCAATATGCAGTGGAAATTAATAAGACAAGTAAAAGCCAAAAGGAAAAAAGAATAGGAAATATGGAAAAATATGGAAACATTTTTAACAGAATTGTATCCTTACCCCTTCTGCAATTGCCAAAGTTAACCTGGGCAATATTGGTTGTAATCCGGCATCTGTTTGTAAACTATGTAATGCTTCCTTAAAAATAATTACTTTATGATTATGATTATTTTATGAAAAATAATTAGCGTAATTTTTGAACTTAAATTTGAAATAAAAATATTAAAAGCACCGTTCGCCTTGCGTCGTCGCTACCCATAATTGCTTCTGTGACTTCTTTGAAGAAAATTTGTTGCTCCTAAAAAAATTTCGGTAAAGTTATAAAAATCACCTCAAAATCAATTTTATGCAACTAAATGGTAAATAACCATAGAATATAATGAAAGAAGATGACAAATGAATAATTAGAAAAATGAGAAAATGATCTAGCAAATCCATTTTTACTTACAACAGATAAAGCATGTGTTGTCATCGTTTTTATTTGCACTTGTTCATTCTTTCGCAATGCCTTGCCAACATGAGTTAAAATAATAGGACCCGCATCTTTTGTACGATTTTCAGCAACGGATCCTGATGCTTCATCGAGCGCCATAGGTGTTGGATTTTCAGGCACGGCAGGCTGTTCACCATCGATGACCAACCAATGTGCTAAAACAAAAATTTAAATAATTTGCACATGATAAATGGAATAACAAATTATCTAAATCCCAACAAAACAAGATTTTCCACTAACCTTTGAGTGCTGTTTCAAGAGGTAATTTTGGAGCAGCTGCATTCACCACATGAGTTATATCAACATCACGTTCATCCGTAATAAAAAGATCACGTCCTAACGAACCCGCGAAACGGAAGGGTATTCCATCTTTGCAACAAAATCCAAACAATGGCTAGAATCGATTTTTGATTTAAACATTAAATTCTTTAATGATATGGAAGCCTATGTTATAAATAAAACAATAATTAAATATGAAATAAAATAAAAAACAAGCAAAAAATCGGAAGAAAAATTTCATTACACTATATAATTAAATAATTATAATTAAATAATTTTATAATAATTCCTTGCTCGCACTAATTTAATTTTAATGTTGGCCTAAAATACTAATATATAATATTTCAGGCCTTCATATTAACAACATGACAATAAAAAGATTCTCAAATTACCTGATATCCTTTTATACTCAATGCTCCATCAATATCATCCGCTATTAAACGCTTTCTTCTGCCATGACTTGTAAATTTTTTTGCCTGTTCCATCACATCCTCAAAATGCAGTAAATTATAAATACAGAAGGGGATTTCGATGATACGGCGGTGAAATACTCTTTGAATAAAAAATATAATCATCGTGAAGGAATATAGTGAAAATATACCTTAATCACATATGTTAAATTGACAGCAATTTCTAAGGCACAATTATCAGATAAATTTCCAATACCAACAGTTTCCGCAACTGTCTGAAATTTTAGACACAAATTTTTTAGATATAAAACAATGAATAATGGTGAAATCATTTAATTTCATTTATTTTCAAAATTTCAAAAAAATTTTTGTAACTTTGATTTTGTAAGTCGATTAAAAGCTGGAAACTGACTCGGATATATGTGCTATCAATTAGCGGCTCAACTGCAGAAGTACTAGGAGCTGAAGATAAACCAGAAGTTCCAGCTGAAACTTCCTGAAGATTTATTAAATTCGATTTTTTATTCTTAGCAAAAATGTTCTCGCAATAAGCTAAGCACGAGATTTTTTTTTCAAAATATACAATTATTATAAAAATTATAAAATTTTTCAAAATTTTAATTTCCAAACAAACAAAAAAAATTAAAAACAAAAAAAAACAAAAAAAAATTGAAAAGAATAGAAAAATTAATTCTCGTAAACTCGTTTCCGAATAAATCTTCTTAATGGAGAAAAATCTTTTAAAAATTTAACTATTAATTTACTATTAACCTGATGTACTTGCAGTATTTTTATGAACGCCATTGGTAAGACGTTGCTCACTCTGCATTCCACTGCTCGCTGAAGGCGGCAGACGCATTTACTTCGCAATTTGTCCAACAATCACTGCATATATTCCAGTAATACGAAAAATTGCATCAAATCTTCCACTTTAAATAATCTCAAAAAATTAAATTTTTTTTCTTTTTTACAAATATTAAATATTAAATTTAAAAAATTAAATTTCGCATCGAATATTTACAATATTTATGGAAATAGAAATTTATATAAATTGAACTATGCTTTTCGATGAAAATATATTTACGCATAATAAAATAAAATATAAAAGGTAATGAAAACAAAAAGTTGTTTGGAATCACAGCGATCTGCTTCCAAACTCACATATACTTTCGCACATCAAAAAAGGATCATTTGATCAACTCTGAAGAGCTCTGTTTGTTTATTTTTTTTCAAACGATGGAAATTGTAGCTGATTCTTTTTTTCCACTTCTTCTAATGGTGCTATTTCGAATTTAGCTACCCATTCATTAATTATTAAACTTGAATCTTTCCATTAAGAAACGAAAAATAGATAGATAGAACTTCATGTATGTACCAATCCATGAAAGATACACTCCTCTCTAAAGACAAGGAATAATCTACGCTGCTTGATCAAAACAAACGAAGCAACCAACTATTACAAAACCATAAGTGTTGTTCTTTCCTTGGCATTTTTTTAGAGAGTCCTCACCATTACTGGTTAAACTCGCTCCGCAGGCTTGTCGCATTGGATGCCAGAGAGCCCTTTAACAATAGAAGTACAAGTGAGTCGCTAACATCACCCAGATTTTTGGACAGATTTACCTGCGGGGAATAGAATCTCAGCATTTTTTTCCTCGGCATTAGCTCACTGATTTTCCTATTTTTTAATATTTTGATTATTTTTCACCAGCGATATGCTTAGCTTGTCGATTGCAAATCTGAACTGTTGCTGAACTATATTCATTTCTTGTCATCATTTTCATTTGAGTATAATAGTTTTCACAGCTGTATTACTTTCAGATTTTGTGAAGGTACTGCTCAAATGCGATATTTGATTCGTTTCTCTCTAAGCACATACAACGTAAGATACAACGTAATCTGTATTCATACAACAAAATGCTATATCAACTGGTTATCAGTTATATCAGCTATACTCGAAGAGTATAAGTTGCTAATCGGTGGATGATACCTTCATATAGCGAAATACTTATCATAATATTTACTCTTCAATAAAACCGGTTTTAAGACAGCTCATCATACTATTTGTTAACAGCAATAATAAACGACAAATAATAAAGATTAATACTATGTAAAAAATAAGGAAAAGCAAAATTTGTACAAAAAATTCCTATTTTAATGTTGTATGTGTGTGTGGAAAAAGCGATACCTTAATACCTTTATTCGCCAGAAGCCGCCATATTTCCAAAACCCCCTTCAAACCCTGCTGATTACCCTCTAATATCTCCAGCATCACTCATCTCGTAATCCATTAGCTATTTTAAACTTTTTGTCATTCTCCACAGACACAGTTTTTTATTACCACTCATCCTCATCCTTAGAGCTTCAATGCTCCAAGATTCACGATGCATTTGTGGTATAACTGCAGGAATAAATTCGTAAATGCAAAGATGAGGCGAATACGGGTTTTGGAGAAGCGAACTGTGAGTATCAAGAATATACACCGAGCGTGAGAATTAAAATGAAAATAAAGAAGGAATTTATAACATAAGGAGAATGCTTAAGGAGAATGATTCATATGAGTACAAAAAAGATGGCTGTAAGAATATTAATGGAGTATTTGGTAAGCTTTTCTATAAGATGATGGCTTTTGAGGATAAAGGAGTCCTAACATGACAAGTCAAGACTCGCCCAGGCAGTAAAATCGGAATAATATTGTATTATTTTACTATCACCAATGGTACATTAAAAAAATAGCATAGTGAAGTCATAGAGATCCAAGAAAATTATTAATGAGCTACAGAGATCCATAAAATGGAAGAGATAACAGGGAGAAATAATAGAGCAGCTGAACTTGCTAACATTGTATTTAATGCCGCTTGAGGTTTTTATGAAAAGTGATAAATTTTGGAGACATTGGAGCTTTTTTCTGAATATACATATAACACTTCGTATCAAATAATTCTATCCCAATTTTACTAGCGGAATCGTTGTCAAGCCTTAATGCAATCCTCATAATTCCATTAATATCTCTTCGGAACCTGGTGCATTATCATTCTCCCCAAGCTAAGTTCTATATTCTCCGAAAATATCCTTCCATTTTTACCATCTGCCCTGGTTACGTTCCGTAAATACATAGCGAGATGCATAATGCAGTTCATCGAATTTAATCCACTGTATACATGGCCATCTCCGGAAGCCCTAACACACGATTTATTTTTATTCCAGATAATTTCTCTGATCATTGTTCAAATTATGATTATTTTACCAAGAAGACCATTTTCTACCATTACTGCCCTATTCGAACCATCTCTATTAATTTCGCCTTGTACGGCCGGACCTCTGCTACTACAAAATGATATGATCTGTCCATTAAGGCTGCCAATTTTAGTGCGTGCGTGACGTGAATCGAACACTCGTCACGATATGATCAATCCGCTAGAACGCTGAGGGAGAATTCGGGGAGAACACGTGGGGATTTTACCTCCGATGCCTAAATTGAGAACAAGTCCATGCACCTCGGCAAAGCAAAGAAAGTGTTCTCTATCGTTACGCCCAACCACATCACTATATGCGGGCTATGCAGTTGAAATTTCACACAATCCTTGCCATCCATACAACCCGACCCAGACATCGCAGAACTTCTTTTTGTGCTAAGCGGAGGGTAGACTAAGCACACTATCAGAGTGGATCGAGACCTTTTAAACATTATTCGTTATCCGGAGCGCCAAACAATGGTATATATAGTATCTTTGTTCAACAGAATAATTGCTCGAGGCCTAAGTAAGGAAAACGGACTCCCAATACTCGATATATCTATAAGCCTTAATAACTGGAAAAATGTGGAATAGGGAGTAGTCGCCTCACTTCCAAAAAATATCTCCTCTGCTTAGCACGCATGCACCGTCGTATACACAGAATTTCTCCATGGTACCAGCGATTCATTTATCTAAACACAGCTCATACACCAGCACTTATTAAGCGCTTTTTTATTTCAGGTACTTCAGAAATATCATTATCCAAACAAGAATTTCTGTTATTATTAGATGATATTAAATCATTGTTTTCCAATTTTTTATCCCTGTTGTTTTGTGTTTACTTTTAAATCATGAGAGACATTTATTAATTAACATAATTGATTTTTAAAATTTTATATATGAATAAATTTTTATAGTAGAAGTGCGAGTGAAAAAATTTTCCACCTAGCCTCTTTGTATTAACAGTATTGCCACGTAAATATTATACTTTGCTGCTTTGAAAATGAAAAGGTGCCAAGATAAAATATTAAAAATCTATGCTTAAAGTAACGAAAGGATCGCGCAAGAAAAAAAAGAAAAGAGTTTTAATGAGAGTTCTACGGTGCTATGGCCAAGATCTCGTCACAAATGCATACAGCCAACTGGTTATCTCTAACAAATCCTGAATAGTTTTCAATCTATATTTTTAATCCTGCTGTCATGTCTACAGGTAATTTAAAGGATGAAATTTGGTGCTTTTAATTTAAGAGGATTCTTTAAAAAAACCAAATTTATGAGGCAATGGAAACCATTTCAATAACAATATGAAGATAGCTTAATGGAGCATTAAGAGAACTAAGCGAAGCTTCGACGATTATTGAGGAATTGCAGCAGTCCTGAAGTTTTTAGGAAGACAAGGCGAAACTTGAAAAATTCAAAGGGCAAAGCATAACCTAAAGAATATCACCGCTATGATAAAATGGCTCTTTGAGGTTGGAGGGAAAGAAAAAATTTGATTTTTTAAAACTCAATTAAGAGAAACATAGTAATATTTGGCAATTTCTGGAAGTAGATTTTCCATGAACGTGCATCTATTAATATTAACGAGCAAATTACACAGATTACATAAAAAATAAAGAATTTGAAAATTCGAAATCCAACGTAACAACGGAAGAGTGAAAGTGAAAAAGCGAAAGTGAACGAAACAAAATTTAGAGAAGAAAATATTCGGAAATAAAAAATCATAAAAAAAATTTAAAAAGCGAAGAGAAATATTTGAGTTTGAGTTTCAAGAAGAAATGATGGACTCGAAACGATGGGAGGAATTGGAGTTACAAAATCACAAAAGAGTTTAAGGGGCCATCATTAAGAGGTTGCGATAAAATAACATAGGACAGTTTATCTTTTCGAGCAAGGCAAGAATGGAATTGGGTTATTGAGAAAGAGGAGCTAGGTGGAGTGCCAAATAATAAGACTTACAGATAGAAAGTGAAGATTCTTAAAATTTTTGTAGATTTATAGACAATGAAATCTGAAGGAATAGAAATATGCGTGGTTCACGAATGCATTTGCTTATATATTAATGGCGAAAGATTACTACTGGCGCATTAAATAAATATAAGAATCCTGGACAAGTCAAAGATAAATTTGGCAGAATTTTGAGATCCTCTTTTCACCATTTTTTCATTACCGAATAAAAAAACCGATGAGCCATAGAGCTCCAACCTAATAGTATCCACCCATTCCCTGCATTTTGGCTACGGCCGTATTTTTTAAACTCGCGTAAAAACCCACTAATGATTTTCATTAATGTAACAAATAATATCAAAATGAAGAAAGAAAATATGCCACAGAATTTAAAGCGTTCTCTTACTTTTATTTCGTTAGGCAAGAATTGCCTTAGATACGTCGAAATATATTTCAACTTTAAAGACCTTTCAACTTCGAACAAATTCCTTTCATTGATCCAGAAATAAAGTTTACTAAGCCAATTTGCTCAACTCAAATAAATAAACTCAAATTTTCCTCTGATCCGAATTTTAAAAAATTACCAAATAACTGAATTTTAAACCAACTAAATCAAAAATTTTTTCATCAAATTTCTAAAAAAAAATCATATATTTAGCTTTTCTAAATAAAATTCTAAAAAAAAAGTCCTTTGCAAATTTAAAATATATAAATATTAAAAATAAATAAAAATCAGTGTCAAAACACGAGATTTTTAGAAACAAAAAACGACACAAAAAATCAACAAAATATATTTATTATTTAAAATTGCATATCGGATAAAGCAATAATAAATAAAAAATAAAGAACCATAATAAAATAATGATTTTTCATCAACAGCAAGCAATAAAACCATTTTAGGTAAACTTACAGCAATTAGGCTTGATAATGCCAACAACAAATTCGCAGATAAACCACTCAAATTAACAAAAAATTATCTATACCATAATTAAAACCATAAATACCTCAAAAAATTTTTGAAAAGAATAAAACGGACTATTCAAATAATTATTAATTTGAAACTGTTATACCCAAGTCGCTTAATTCTCTTTAAATATCAGCGAAATTATTTCACCAGTTTTAAATAGTGAAATTAGTTTTAAAAATTTAAATATAATATTATTCAAATCATTAAAAAACCCACCAGAAAAATTTTTAACAAATGATATTTTTTTTCCACAATTTTCTAGTAATTTAAATGGAGATATTTCAGCAAATATTATGTTTCCCATAATGTTAAAAATACTGCGAACGATATATAATAATAAACTGTCTTAAAATCTGCACACAAACAGAAAAACGTTATTAAAATATATAAAATCATCAATATTAAATATTTTTATCTTAAAATAGAACTAATCTTTTCTTAGTACATTGTTGATAAGATGTTCAACTTCCTTCTCCAGCAAGGGCATAACAACATATCCATCTTCATCAATAAAGCAGCCTATTGATTTTATAACCTGCCAAGATCAAATAGTATAAGCAATTAAAATATACAAATAAAATGATCACGAAAAACAAAAAAATCACGGAAAAAATTCATAAAAAATAGAAATAGAACATAAAAAAACCTTTGTCTGACCAGAAAGTGATTCTTGGGTATATTCTGCTTCTAATGTATATTTGTCATCAAATCTGTAAAATTAAAAAAAAAACCATGAATCATACATAAAACCAATAAAGCCAATAAAGTTAACTGGAATTGATAAATTAACTAATCTACCGAATTGACCAAACTGCAAATATAATATATAATAAAAAAATACTAATATATATAATAAAAATATATTATAATATATAATAAAAAAATACTAAACAGTTGAAATATTTTTTCTACCTATAGAAAAGTAAAATAAAATTATTTATTTATAATTAATTAGCGAACTTTTTAATAGAAGATGACCATTTCCAATATCTTTTCGGATGGCGTTTTTGATAATCTTCTTCTACAGCTTGAAAAAATGTACCTTTCTCCACATACCACATATACAATTGCAATATTCCCATTAAAATAAAATATGTAATCGAACAAGTTGCGAGAACCTAATTAAAAAAATACATACTTCAATAATTATATTATGTATCTGAGGTATAAATATACTTAAACACTTGAGGATTTTTCAAACACTTTTTTCACTTTTCACTTTTTTAATTTTTCAAAAAATTTTTTTAATTTCATTAATTTTTAATTTCTTAATTTCAAAATTTCTTAATTTTTTTTTCAAAAATGACTTCAATATTCTAAGAAATTTTTTCAGCAGTTCTTACTGTTCAACAAATTTTAATTGATATTAAAAAAAAACGAAAAAACAAACAGGTTTTGATTTCGGAAATGGTTCTAAATAATCGTAGATGAAAGCGAATGCAGAAAAAAATACTGCTATAGTTGATATCAATAATCGGATATCCGCCAAGTAATGCTTTTCGGTCCAAAAACTTTTCCGATTCAGTATCTGTAATTTAAAACTGGAGAATTTAATTTCACCTTATCGAATCGCCTTTCTTCTATTAACACTTTTCTTTTTTCTAGTCTAAATTTAAAAATATAAAAATAAAAACAACTTACAAATATAACTACAAATATAAATACAACTAATATAGAATACAACTTTTAATTAACTAGTAAATATAAATATCAAAAAAATCATATGATTCGAAAATAAGTGATTATTTCATGAAAATAAGTGATAAGTGATTAAGTGATTATATTATATCAAATAGAAATATCTTTAAAATAACAAATTTCCTCAAAAATAGTGCTTTTTATCGAAAATTTAAGAATTGAAATACCCAAAAAAATTGCACAATCTTATCAGTTATATTCACCATTGTCTTTACAACTCTTTCCCATCTAGACCAATTCATGAATTTCTTTCTTGAAAAAGCTCGCATATCAGGATACTTTAGGACGATTTTTAAATTCTCAAAGAAAAACTTTTTCAGATGCTATAGAGAATTGAATAAAAGTGGTAAAGTGTGGGGTATGAGATAGATGAAGCAAATCTTCCCAAATAAGTTCTCGGATTTTTTGGCGAGTATTTTGAAGCATAAGATTTTGCGCTGTGATAGATATTGTTTGTTTTTGAATTTGGGCATCGGAAATGAAATTTTTGTCGGATTTGAGCAATTCATTTATTCCTTTTATATTTTATACTTCTCTTGAAGCATTTGCTTAATGAATACATTCATAATGAGTTATAATGAGTTCACATTTCTGCCATGAATGACGAATTTGTTTCTGGTGTTTTTTCCTCCCGATAACCAGAAACATTCATGAGTAGTTCTTCATTATCCATTTTCATCATTAATAAAAATTATAAAAAAAGAAGCGAATAGAAGATCTTTGAAAAAATACGCACTTTTTGAGCACAAATTGACATAGAACCCTTATCTGACCTCCTTGTAGCTTGAAGATAATGAAAGTTACTTGTCTACATGATCCGTTTTTAGCGAATGAAAATTCAATGTTCGTTTTGAATAAGCTTTATTAATCCATGGAGAATGGAAATATCTTTTGATGACCTGCAAAACAGCACTTTCTCTTCGAAAATTTCCAAAATCGTTCAAACCATCGTTCGAATATATCCATTGCTATTGCTATTGTTGTATTGTAGATTGAATTCGTAAAGCATGCAATGTTGTAAATAATTTTTTGATGGTATATTCCAAATTTCATTATTCCAAGTACCACCAAACGAATTTTAACCAAACTCAAGTAAATGATGACCATAATGTCATATTATTTTATAAGAAATTATTCAAAAAAAAACGTGCGTGCTTTTTTATTTTACTAAAAATCCACCTCAAAAAAACAATCTTTTTGAAAAAATTTAGAAATAAATATTTTAAATATTTTAAAAATGTTTTGAAAATATATTTGCAAAAAAAAAAATATTTCTATGAAAATTATATCAAATCTTTTTCTCACTCATGAAAATTTTATTTTCCGAAAACAATTAAAGAAAGGAACAACCTTTCGAATAGCATCATCCAAAGTATTTTTCACGGTAGGTGCATCCCACTTATTGACCTTCAAAACATCTTTATCAGCAATTTCCGCCTGAGATGGATTTGTCGTTGCCTAACAATAATAAATGTAACTAAAATTCAGATAAAAGAAGCATTTTAAAATATAAAATACTATTGAAATATATATATAAATTCAAAAGTACTTAAAGTTAAACATACAAAGGGTCTGAATTAATTAAAATGAGTGCTATATATAACCAATGAATAATTTTACGATTTTCTAAATTATTTTCCAAAACTTAAAATCCTAAAATTCTAAAAACCTAAATAAATCTAAAATCAAACCAGCTTCCTAACAGTAGCAGGTTTAATTTTTCTTTCAAAAATTTCTAGTTTTCTAGTTTTCATTATCATCAAGAAAATTAAATTCTTTAATCAAACATATCACTAAAAAATTTCATTTATAGCATTATAGCCTTTTTTTAAGAGTCTTCCGGTTAAACTCTGGTTAACCATTACTCACTCCGCTAGCTTGTCGCACTGGACAAATACCAGGGAGTCCTTTGGTGATGAAAATACAGGTGAGTCGCCAGCATCACCGGAATTTTTGGACTTTACTCCTGCGGAGAATAGAATTTTTTTATCGGCGCTCCGAATTATATCATACAACAACCCACTAAGCAATCCTATCCCCATATCATTATGTCATTTATCAATATATCTATCAATATATATCATTTATCAATATATCATTTCATATGTCATTTATCAATATATCATTCCATTATCATTTCATTTAAAAAACTGCCTCAAAAAAATAAAACTGTAAAAGATTAAATCAAATAATAAATAAAACAAATTAATAAAACAAGCGATAAAAAAAACGAGAACCTTTGCTGGCATCTGAATAAATTTTTAAATTTCCTGAAAAAAATTTTATTTTTATGGAAAAACTTCCGAAATGAATAATACGACGAACAATTAAAACGCAAAAAAAAAACTTATATTCTTAATATAAATAAAAGAAAATGCAAAACATTACCAATGCAAATTAAAAAAATTTTTACTTCTCAGTTAGATGTCCCCTCAATTAATGCTAAAAATCGAAGGAAAAGAGATACACAAACAAGGTGAGGAGAAAGGATCTGGGAAAAAAGAATCGTTAGCATCTCATAAAATTTAACGCCAAATTTGGTCTAAAAAATCCAATGGTTTTCGGCAAACAATTTCAGTCCTAATGTTAACAACAATATTATTTGATAAGAAACAAAATATTAGCAAAAAAAATAAATATCATATTAGTCTTATAAATTTTAAATAATCTTAATAAATTTATATAAATTATCTTTATATTTATTTATTTATCTATATTTATCTTAATAAATTATAAATAATCTTAATAAATTTTAATAAAATATATATTTCTGATTTAATGTTTGGCTATAAAACAAAAGAAAAGCTAATTAATACGGAAAAAATTGCAGATTGAAACACGTATATACTTTTGTCCCCACGTATTCTTTGGCTAAACAACGTCATCCAAATAATATTCATATATCTCAACTGACAAACAATCAGCTAAATGAGCCTCTACAATGTCGCAAAAAAAAAAGAACAAATATTTTAATATTTCTATAAAAAAACGTCTAAAAAAAATAAGCAAAAATAAAACAATTCTATACAGCTTAAAATAATAATTTAATTTGATAATAATAATAACTTAATTTTTTAAATTGCAGTCAACTGCTATTCGCATTTTCATGACTTAATATATTTGCATAGATACCTTCAGGCATCGGATCAGATCAGAAGGCTTGGCTCGAAAATGCCTCCCCTCAATGGCCAATAGTGTGAGCCAAACGAGCAGTGGCACGAGCTGTCATAGAAGAAAAAACAATTTAATTACCCTAACTATGACTAAACACGAACCAGTTGTTTAATAAATTAATACGACTGATATAGATTACAGTTAATTCCTTTTTTGACTAAATAATTTTATTGTTCCATTTCACCAATTAAGATCACCATGGAAGTGATTAGAAATGGTGAATGAGTGACTCAATTATTTTTCCACATACAAAGATTCTCAATAATTCTCGATTCGGCTCTCCGAATTATATCATACAACAACCCACTAAACAATCCTATCCCCATATCATTATGTCATTTATCAATATATCTATCAATATATATCATTTATCAATGTATCATTTATCAATATATCATTCCATTATCATTTCATTTAAAAGACTGTCTCAAAAAAATAAAACTGTAAAAGATTAAATCAAATAATAAATAAAACAAATTAATAAAACAAGCAATAAAAAAAACGAGAACCTTTGCTGGCATCTGAATAAATTTTTAAATTTCCTGAAAAAAATTTTATTTTTATGGAAAAACTTCCGAAATGAATAATAAGGAACTAAAAATGAATAATAAGGAACTCAAGGAACTAAAAATAAAGATAGTTAGCGAAATATTCAATGCCAATCGATTAATTAAGAATTAATAAAATTTATTAATAAATTTAAATAAAACTTCATTTAAAAAATTCCAATAATCAAAAATTCTCGAAAAATTCGAAATTAAAAATTCATCATTAAAATTATTTTCTAAAAAAATAAAAAGCATGAAATTCTAAGAAATTCTCTCCAATACAAAAAACGGAAGTATTTCCAATCAATTGCAGAAAAACAAGCGGTTAACGCTCACATTTCTGGTTAGGCGTGCTTGTCGGACCAGAAAAATTTTATCAGAGACTCGCCTAGCGACAGAAATGCCGGCGGCTCGCCAAAACCACTCGGATTTTTGAAAGACGGGTTTTCCGCGTAGAGGTTCGCATCGGCGCCCCGAAATCACACCAACAATTCACCGAGCTACCAAAGTTATTAAAATTGAAGCTGAATTATTAAAATTAAGCCAATCAAATAAAAATATTCAGTTCGAAGTCAAAAAAATGAAAGAAGAATCTGGTAAATAGAAATTTAAAGGAGCCGTAAAAGTGAGTTTGGCAATGGGCCAAACGTTTAAACAGTATGACGCGTCTTGATGGTCCCACAACGAAAATTTTAATCAATATTTGGCGATTTATTGATTCACATTTGTTATTTCGATTGTGGCGAAGAGAAGCGGGCGGTCGTTTCAGCGGTGGAGGTGTTGAGGTGTGATTAGTAGAGTGTGGATTGGAAGTGGTGAAGGGATCGGGGCGGTCTCTCTTGTTTTTGGATGTTGTGGACTTCGTTGATTTTGTTATTTTTGTTGTTTTCATTTTTTTTAAATTCAATTCTTATCGTTTAACATTTTGTTTCTAACAGCTTTTTCTTTTTGACCTGAATAATTTTTTGGAAATTTCATTTTCAAAGTTTTCGAAAACCACTCGGAAAGTTTTCATATTAAAATTAGTTTTTATCTTTCTATTTTGGAATTTTTCTGTAATCCAGTGGTTATCTTTTACTGATTTGCGTTTTTCGTTTTTCCTTCATTTATCTTGTAAGAACTGTCTAAAAACTTGTGTTATGTTCAGATATCTTTGCATTCTTTGCTTTTTATTTCAACGTTTCCGAGGAATGGATGAAAAAATCAATATGTCGCTTGGTAAGAGTTTTTCTTTTTTTGTTGACATTACTGATTCTAAAAATATGTGGGATTTATGGGTTTTTTACATCAAAATCCTTGTTTTCCTTTAGTTCACTTTTTTTATTATAAATTTTTGCAGACGAAATCATCAAGAAAGAAAAAAAATTTGTTGGCAAGAAGTTTCTTGGAAAAAGGCGCAGTCTGAAGGTAAGTCGTAAATCTCCTCTTATTCATTTACGAAATAAATTTTGATTTCGAGTTCGATCCTTTTAATGATTTGTTAAAAAATTTTAAGCGTCCCAGAGTCACCAACAATTTTGGGTTGAAAAGACGAGCACGTAAATCATCACTTGCCAATATAAGTAATCAGAATGCAGATAAAACTGGTTCCGCTACATTGCGCCTTGTTAACAGACTCGTCAAGGTATTTAATATTTCTATGATTTTTTTTCAAAGATCTTGATTTAAATTGATTAAAGCGGTTTGAACGGTTGAATTATTTTAGTGATATCTTACTATGGAAATCCAGTTTTAAATAAATTTCAGTGAATAGTTACTTTCGATTATTGGAGTTGTATGATTTTTTCTTTCTTTAATTTTTTAAAATTTATTTTATTTTAGAACGCAATAAGAAGTCAAGCGAATCAGACCTTGATCAGTCGTGCCGCTCAGTTACAACGTCGTCGTATAGCGGTGCGTAGAATGGCTAAAAGGCCTGCAGTATGTCTATAGAACTGCAATTTTTCAGTTTTCTCGATTTTTCTCGATTGCAATATCTTCAATAATATCTTCAATAATAGTTTCGTCCAAGAAATTGGAAAGCCAAAAGAATGATAAAAACAAATTAATTGTTCTTTAACTAACGGTGTTCGGCAGATATGGGAAAAATATTAGCTGTTAAAATTTCTTACTGAAGATCTTCCTGGCCGATCTCTGTTTTATATATGATATCTGAGCGATAATCCGGAGCGGCAGAAATTAACCAGAAATCAGACGAACTATTGAAATACAAACTAATGGGATTGGGTTTCGGTCAAGATCTCTTCTGTGTTCATCTAAAAGCCATCAATCGGCAGATTTATTTGAGATTTGAACTCTTTGTTTGTTGTTGTTTATTTTTATTTAATAATCGAAATAACAGCAAAGCAATAGGTTAATTTTATGATTGCGAAATTCAATTTTTTGAACTTTTAAAAAAATCTAGTAATTTCGCAAGTTTTATGAGTAAGGAGGGAATCACTCTTTGCTTAATTTTGATAGAAAGCGTTTCATATTTAGGGAGGAAGACGGCGTTTTATGGCAAGATCGTCTCTTCCGGCCGATCGTCTCCGTGGCGTTAGTCAGCGGTCGCGAATTATCTTTGGTAGAAATGTGAAAGGATCCGGCGCTGCCTCTGTCCGACGTTTATCAGGATTCCGTTCTGATTCAGTTAGTATCATCAGTTTCACCTTTTTTTTCGCGAATTGTATATTGTGAAAATTTTTCTAGGTTTTGCGTGGTCGAGGAACAAGATTGGGACATTTGGTCAGCGATGTTTCACCAGTTCTCAATAAAATAAAATAGTTTGTTTTTTGACTATTAAATTTACTAAATGTTTACTAAGGTTATACAATTTTTCAAGATGAATTCTGATGAATTCTGTTTGCCACCTGAATATAAATGTTATATATAAATGTTTTATGAAGTTTGACTGGGAAAGAAGAAGAATAATTAAAACGAATTATAGTGTACCGGTTGACACTGTTGTGAAAAATCAACTTCCTATTCAACAACGATTTACGCAAAGAAGTGTTTGGAATCGAATTCCTCAGCAGCAGCGTGTAGTTATCGTCGATGAAGTAGTGTTAATTCTTTTTTTTGTTATATTTCCTTTTTCTAATTGTATTTGTCTTTTTTGGTTCACATGGGTCCAAATGACTATTTGGGCGGAACGCCTTATCAGGCCACATGGGAGTATCAGAACTCCAGTATTACTGTTGTCGACAAGGGAAGCGAACCCAAGATGCTTCAAGTTAGTTGGTATGAAGTCACATCCACATTTAAAATAGCTCGATTTCAGCCTGTTCGTCGTCAAAAATTTCGTTCTCGCAAACCAGTTTTTGAGCGCCTTCAAAGAGATAATAGATTTAGAGGTTCGAATCCGGATGCAGAAAGAATGAGAAATGCTTTCGGAATTGGGAATAGTCGCAAAGTTGGTCTCACTGCATTGAAAATGTTTTTTTATATGGTTCAATTGTTCGACTAGGTTTTTTAAAATTTTAAAATTAAAATTTTAAATTTTTTAAAATTTTATAAGAAAAGGAATTACTATTCTAATTTTTGAAAGAATGTTGAAAATTATAGTTCGGTATTGACGAATCAGCCAACTCATTTCTGGACCGATTGCACGAGGACAAACAAAGAGCCCCGAATCGCCGTTTCAATCAGATATATGTGATGTGATCATCATTTTTTTCCCAGTTTCTAGCAGTTTCGATCTCTTTTATGATTGATGTGAACTATGACTTTATGATTACTTTACGTTACTAATCCTTTGTAAATTATTTAAATATTTACTGTTATATTTACGTTTCTCAAATATAGGCGTTTTGATTTTGTCTTTTATATATGTATTAAACGTTTAAATGAATAGAAATAAAATTTCAATTTAATATAACATTCGAGAAGTCATTTCAAAATAAGATAAAAAAAATCAGAGACAAAAATTTTCATGAAGGTTTGGCATGTTAAATGATTGGAAAAACGACATTTGCTCCTGGAATTTGCGTTGGAGAGGAGGAGGCGCCTTATCTCGAGTAGTGAGGAGGGGAAATGGAAGGCCGAGGGGTTGGTATTAACGAAATAGGATGAACTAAAAAGAATGTTGGAGAACTAGAATCCTTTTTCTCAATGTGTGGGCTCGTGGCATCAGTCATGCATTTTAAAATATCAATACAGTCGTGATTAATCCTCCACTGCTCAAGGATTAATCCAATTAATCCTTTCAAAGAAAAGAAGGCACATTTAGCTGCAGTTCTAAAAACTGGGTTTTCATCTTTGGCCACTTGGCATTCTTAGGGTTCTTCGTTATTCCATTGTGAATTTAGGAAACTGCGATCTTATCAGTTTGCGATGTATAAGACGGAAAAGAGATTCATGCTATTTACATGGATATATCAATAGAAGGAAGAGGAAAATCTTCGCAGAAGTATCTAGTAAGCAAATTCTAATTCTAAAATAGCTGGTGTAATGCGTCTTATCATCTTTCTTGTAGACCTGGACGAGGATTGCCCTATTCTAACCACATGGTACTCGCTAATTCTTCTAAGCCAGTGAATAGGACTTATGCAGGAATGTGGTAAAGAATGCTATGCAGCGTTTCATGAGTTCAGCTCGAAGACTATCTGTTGGCCTTAAGTTTCTAAATTACAGCTCGATTCTTAACAACAATAAATAATTATAGTAATTGACTGATGCTGTGGTTTTTAATAATATTATTAAATAATATTAAGCAAATTTCATTTTAAAACTAAAGGCAAACTAAAGAGCAGAAACAATACAATACTTGGTACTTGTTTCAGTTATAATTTTACGAAATTTTTCTATTTTTTGCAAATAAATAGTGCCTTATCACTTATTTCATCTTATCACTTTGGCACTTTATCAATAATTTAGGTTATTTAATGAAATAAAATGTTTCAAACAAAAATTTGTTCCTTATTTTTAGTTGCTTATCAAAGTTACAAGAATATTAAGAATTAAATCTTTGCATCCAGAATTATTACTTTTCTTAAATTATGATTTAAAATCTGAATCAATCTGCAACAGTAATTTGGCGAATTGTGGATATCGATATTGTGGATCTTCAAGGCCTAGGTGTAATCTAAAGTAAAAATGGTACATTTTTGAAGATAACTTATTTTGTGCTCGAATACATGGGCGGAAGAATATGCAGGAGTCTGGTGCTGGTGACATTGATATTTATAATTTGTGCTTAAGGCAATTGCAAGGCGAGATGTTAAAATACGATATCAGTTGCAAAAATATAAGATAACAATTATCACAATGAATTAGCCTATTTATTAATGTCATAATATGTTCAATTAATTTGGAAGTAGTAATTTATATAATTGCTAATTAAAATTTTGGCATTCCTTTAATTATTGTTAATTACTATTTATTATTTTTTTAAATAATATCGCCATTATCATTATTATCATTTTATTATCATTTGAAATTATTCATTATTATTCATATATTATCATCAAATCATCATCGTTATTATTATGAGTGATAATGGTTTTTAGTAAATTCATTAGTGAATTTTTTATTTTTTAGTGACCTGGCGAATATTTAAATTTAAAATTTTAAAACTTATTTTAAACAAATGATAATAACAATTTTTATTGGAACAAATACGAATTTTTTTTTTCAAAAAATTAAAATTAATCAAACTAAATAAAATGTGTTGAAATTTTATCGTTTAAAGTTTAATTCCAATTCAATAATTTATTTCTTCCACATTTTCTATAGTTTATCGAGTTGAGAAGCAAGGCTCTGGTTCTGACTCTGAATGGAAGTAAACTGCCCACTAAGAAAAGTTTGAATTAGAATTGGCTAACCACTTTCCATTATCAAATATTTCTAACCTAATATTTTAATAGCTAATGGAACAGCCTAATAAGAAATGATCAGCGCTAGTCACTTTTCCAACCTTCTAGTTTGCTTTACCAATGAATGCAAAACTCGCTTAGTACCACACATTTATTTATCTATAAGTTGATAAATTATAAGATAATAAAAAGATAACCGTTAGGACAATAGCAATGATGATCATCACTGCTCCGTCGATTATTGCAATTTCGAAATGTTCGAAGAATGAAAAATTATTATTTAATAAAAATTTGTTTTATTTTATTTTATTTAATAAAATAAAATACAAAATTGAAATTTACAAAATTTTCAAAAAATTTATTTATTAAATTCTTTATTAAATTAAAAATTTTTAAAAAATTTAATATAAGTTTTTTGAGTTTTTCAAAATTAATTTTATTTGCTTTTTCTTGCATTTAAATTATTTTTTCAAATTATTTGAATTGTTTCAATAAAAAATTATAAGAAATTTAAATTCGATAAATTTTATTTTAATTAATTAATTTCAATGACTTGTTTTAAGTGTTTTATGAAAAGTAGGAAGGATAGCCGACTGGTTTCAACTTAAATTAACTCTTCAAATGCAACGTTCATTACTCATCTGCACTTCTATCACCGAGTGATTTTCTGATAAGACTCTCTTATCTTATAGTTAGTGAAGTAAGCCGCACCAGAAACGATTAGTACTAACCATATACGCATTTAACAACTCTCACCATTATTAGTTCGTATAGTTCCGCTGGCTACAAAGCGAAAACATCTCCATTTTTTCAAAACCGTTTTTCCATCGTCTAAGTCCATATGTGACTAGTTGCTTGCCCTTGCTCTTTTTTGTACTATATCAGGTCCCTCTTAATTGGCCCATCTCGTTTTTGATATTCTATGACATATGTGTTGCAGTGTTTAATGTTTTCTAAATTTTCTATTTTAAAATTTTGAATAATTAATTTCGACAAATTTTCCTACGTTTTGAAATTTACAATTTAAATTACGAAGACTTATTGGATTTATTTTCATTAATTTATATTTTATTTACCATAAAACATACCATAAAATATTATTTTTGTTACAATTACATATGATTTGATTCAATTTTAAAATCAGTAATTTTTACTTAATATTAAATATAAATATATAAATATAAAATTTTCTAATTGCTGGCAAATTTTCTGAATGCGGGACACAACCAATGACGACGTTGCCAATGAGGACATAGGCAATGAGGACAGTGCCGAGGACGCTGCCAATGAGGACACAGGCAATGAGGACAGAGCCGACGACGCTGCCAATGAGGACATAGGCAATGAGGACAGTGCCGAGGACGCTGCCAATGAGGACAATGCCGACGATGCTGCTAATGAGGACACAGGCAATGAGGAAAGAGCCGACGACGCTTCCAATGAGGACAATGCCAAGGACGCTGCCAATGAGGACATAGGCAATGAGGACAGAGCCGACGACGCTTCCAATGAGGACAATGCCAAGGACGCTGCCAATGAGGACATAGGCAATGAGTTTAGTTTATAGGATAAGTTCAAATTAGATTAGAATAAGTTGCAAATTTTAGGGGAAAAATTTCTGACAAAAATTGTCTAAAATTATTCCTTTTGCGTTGAGAAATGGCAGCGTGGATTTCTGAAATTTTTAAAAATTTTTACAAATTTATGCAAATCAAATGAAAAGAAAACCAAGAAAACTGATAAAAAATTTCGATTTTTATTAATAAATTATTAATTATTAAATTATTAAATTAAATTAAATTAATTATTAACAATTAAATTAAAATTATTAAATTTTTATTATTAATAAATTATAAATTATAAAAAATTAATTAACCAAAAAAAAGCTAATTTTTTAAAAATACCTATTTCGATTTGGTTCGTTGCATGGTTGATTATTAAAAGCGAGAATCTGCTTTCGTTCACCAGAGGACCACTTGAGGACAGAAATATAAGCCATTTGACACCAAAACATGCTTTTTGAAAAGCTTCCATTTTCTATTTCCACCAGTAGTGGTTTTTCATAATTTCTAATTTTTACATTTCGAAAATTTGCATTTTGATTATTTTTATGATTATTTTTTTTATAAATCCCATTAACCGGTTTGTTTCAACTAATATTTTAGATTATTTAATAAAATTTGAAATTTTCAAATTTTGAAATGAACGAAGACATTTATTATATCGAACAACTCGTTTTAAATGGAATGGGCGATGGTCAGACTATTTATTTGCAATTAACTTTGGTGAGTGGATTGCTTTTCGTTGTTGTTGAAGGTGATATGATATGATAACGCCTTATCATTTCTGGCCAAGCAATCTATATTAGTTGCCAGCGCAATTAGAATTTTCATTCAGAACCACTCGACTGAAGTGCAGGCAGCGCAATGCAGAAGCCGGTTTTTCGCCCACTAAACTCGATAATCTGGGCTATTATCCATTCAGCTATGCTGTCGTATAGCCATATCAATAGTAAATCCGGCCTCAATTTTTTTTTTTCAGCCCCGCGGCAGTCTCATCATTACACGAAGAGATGCATTTCTACGGCCTCTACCATTTCGTTTAAGTTATTCAGTCGACCCTAGAATTGACCCTTATAGAAATCAACGAATCAGCCGTAGTCCGTTTAGGTTGAGGTCGAGAACTCGTGTCGGAATGAGTCAACTTAGACCAAGGTCACACAGTCCTAATAACCAACGAATAACTAGAAATCGTTGATTGTCTCCAAATAACCATTTGAATTCGGCAATGATTAACGTTTGCTTTTTTTTTTTTCTTATCACTCATATATCATTTCCTAATCAAATATCAAAAGATGTAATCACTATTTCCGATAACCTTATTTGAAATAAATTAAATAAGAAATATCACGGCGGGGGACATTATATTTCCAATTTTCTTCCATTTCGCTAATGAAGTTCCACTGCTTCTAAAACCATATTATTGGCAAATTTTTGAAAAAATTATAAAAACAAACTATATGGCCAAATGATTTGGCCTGATTTCAGTCATATTTTGCTAATTGTAAGCTTGTATTAAGTGCACAAATCAACTAAATTATTGGGGGGGGGGGGTGGAATAAATCGAAATCGTCATTCGTCCTGGATTCGTCCTGGATGGCTTCAACCAGAATTCAGCCTCGTCCAACCAGAATAAACTGTCCAGTATAATTCGACTCTGACTGATGACTGGCACAACCAATGGAAACTATTATTTCACCTTTAAGCTTCTCCTTTTTCTCCTTTCTAATTTAACCTTTTAAGATTTCAATTCAATCAAAATTCCATTCAAAATTTCCTAAATTGAGAAAAAAAAGAAAAACGTAAAATCAGAAAAATAAACAAAAAGAAAAAAGAAAATGGATCGAACAATTAATGCAAATTCAAAATTTATTATTATTAGTTGTTTTTTTCATTAAAAATTGAAAAATTCCATTTAATATTAAAAAATAAAAAATATGAAAATTTAAAGTGAATTTATCAAATATTTTAATATTTTTATTAAAAAAAGGCAAAAATGCTTTTCTGAAAAATTCAAGCAAAAAATCGCCAACTGGAAAAGGCAGATGTTTTTTAGCATTAAACTAGGCCGCCGGTTATTAGTACAGTTAGAAATTTTTATCAGAGAACCACTTGGCGATAGAAATATAGATGAAGCATCAGTACCATTCGATGTTTTTTAAGGACAAGTTTCCCTCGTCTCAGGTAGCAGCCAAAGCACTAATTCTCAACACGAATAGTATCGTCTCAGCTATTAGCGACACTATTATTGAACATCCTTCGTTTTGCCAATGTTTATACAACGATATTAAAAGTCACCAAATGTAAAGTCACCAGAGAAAATGGTGCAGATTTATATCACAAATCATATCATCGACAATAGATCATATCATCGACATTATCACGATTATCATGATTTGCACCAATGATCACTACGAATATTGCACTTTCATGTCCATCGGCATTTAGTTGAAATGGTGTCACTAAGGGAAAATTAAAATGCACTGAAAATTCGCCGAGAAAAAAATTTATAATTTCGTGAAATCCAAAAATATTTAATTTTTTAAAAATAATTTAAGTCAGAAAATTTTTCGCATGAAGCGAAAAAAAAATTTAAGTGAAATTTCACCAAACTTTTTTAAAATTATATATATATTAGACGTTACTTATGACAATTCTCGGCTTTCATGCGACTTTGCAACCACTACCTTCCATGATAAATTTTATCAGATAATTACCGCAGGATGGGAACATTTTTTCCTTATTATCATTATCATTATTCATGCAATATTGTCATTATTATATTACTATTATCATTTTTATCACTACTATTATCAATTGTTATAAATTTATCAGATCGAGCGATGCTGGCGGTCCACTTATATTTCTATCCCTTTCTAACGGCCAGCGGTGTCGAGTGAATCGAATCAAAAATCACTTATTTGGAAATTAAAAAACTTCAGAATTTTTTAGTTTTTACAATTCATATGCTTTCAAAGATTGACTGATAAAACCACTTTTTTATCATTCTTTTCGAAAAAAAATTTGAAATTTATCAATAAATCTTATCAAAAAACTTTAGGTAAAATTCTATAAATCACAAACAAAAATTATTTTTTAAAAGCCAAAAATCATAAAATCAAATATTTCCAATGTTTCTTTCGATTCTTTAAACACTGCTGCTGTTGCTTTATTTCGCAAAAAAAGGAGGGGAGGCGGCGCGTACTTTTCAGGAAAATTTCTTTGAACCATCTTTCTTTCCATTTTTCTTCCTTAAACGCTAATGTAAAAAATAAAACGCACCCATAGTGAAACAACAATTCCCAAGGGATTCCCCGGGGACCCCTTTCATGGAATCTACCTACCCTTTCGGGAAAGCGAGGTTGTAAACAAAACAAATTTTTAAATAATGAAGCTGCAAAATAGAGCAACTTCGTCTCAAGATAATTTTATATCGTTACAGCTCAAAATTACAAAATATATTCAAATATTTTTAGATTTTTAACTGCGTATTTTTATCGAATAGCGTTTCAAACTTCAAAGGTTTCTGTGTTAAAATTTTAATAACGTTTCAAAAAATATATCCGAGAATTTCCAATAGAAAAAAGACTAAAAGCTTCATTTATATTGGAGGCCCCAAATTTTCACAAAATGCAGCACAAAATCGGCAAAAAATCAATAAAAAATACATACGGTAGAATAGAAGAAGCCTTTTCATACGGTAGTCTGGCGGCTAGCTGTCTGGTTGTTCGGATTTTCTTGCTTGTTTTTTTTTTCGTTATTTTCGATTTGGTTTGATTCGAAAAAGTTCCAAAAGGTCAATGAAAAGTGGAACGATCGTGAAATAATTTCGTTAGCGTTGCGAGACGAATTTGTTAGTGGAACGGCTAAAAGGGAAATTTGGGTTGTGGTACTCCAATAAGGAGGAAAACAGGCCAAAGCACTGGATTAGCGGAGTTTTTTTTAGATGCTAAAATTCGGATGTAATTTGAAGGGGAAATAAAATTGGAAATTGGAAATAGATGAAGAGATTCGGTTAAAAAGGGCAATTTTATGATAAAATTTAGTAATTTGATAAATTGACCTTTTATGATAAAATTTATCAATTTGATAATTTGACCTTTTGCCATTTTTTTAATATTTCCCACTTAGTATTATTATTATTATTAAATTTTATTATTACAAAATTTGTGATGAGATTTAGCACTTCGATTTGACCTTTTATCATTTTTTTGAACGGCTATAAATTGACCTTTTATCACCTTTTTCGTTAATTTTTTGATACTTAGTGCTTTTGTTGTTTTTTTGTAAAATTTAGTGGTTCCATGCAATCTTCTGTCACCCCCATTAGTTTTTTATGTGTAAGCTTTTCATTTTTTCATGGTTTTTCCGGCAGAATTCAATATTATAATTCGATTTTTTACCTTCACTTTTCCATGATTTTTATGGAATTCAATCTTTTTATAAATTTTTCAACGATTCTTTAAATTTAATATTTTCATATATTTACTTATTTGTATTTATTTTTTATGGCCAAATTTAGCAGTCTTTTTAATAATTTTAATAATTTTAGTGGCAAAATGAATTCGATGATCTAACTCGAACTCTCATGACCTTTTATCGATTTTTCCCACCTGATTGCGGTTAAGTCTTATTTTATTTTAGCAGTAGTTTTCTCATACAACAATTTTGTTGAATTCCATAAATTCTCTTTCCATTGAATTTTCGTCTTCAATTTTCGTATTTCTTACAGAAATCCACATTTACTGGATATTCTTTTCAATCGCACGTTTCCATTTGCTCGTCTGTGACCGATATTTAGCTGTTTCTTTTGACAGCATTGCTAGCTGAGACTATCGATCCACAGTAGACTTTTAAATTACAAGTTGACCTTTACAGTAAGAATTTTGCAAGACTTTGACATTGCAAGATTTGAAGCAAATAAAAGCACTTCTTTTTCCACCGTACATTGCTGTACCATCCTTCCATATGTTCCAGAATTTCTGCTGACCATATCGATCCAGGTCTTCACTGGTCCTCTTCACTTTTGGCGCTATTAATTAAGAGGGTTAGAAAGTGGCACGATTGATTTCTATGACAGGTGACTAATATATTTTATTCTGGGCAGATGACAATATTCAGGTGATATTCAAGTCATATGATGCAATCATTTGAAATTTCATGATAGGCTTAGCGGCACCAGTATATCTTTTAGGTAATGCTCAAAGATAAATAACTTCCTAGTATCTTCAGCTCTCGGCCATTTAGCAAAACTGTGCATATTACAAAATTTTGAGGTTGATTTCGCAGCGATTTCAAAGAGGCTTCACCAAATCAAAGAGGCCGTTGCAACTATAGGCACTGGAATTTCATCTTTTGTCTCGTTATCAGGCATAAAAGTAAGCATCAATAGCCAGTGCTCAAGCTATCCGACATTTGAAAATTAGCGAGAAAGGTACACAAAATATATGCCGATTCATGTTTCGTATTGTTCGCTAGACACCTATTTTAACAAACTTGAATCTTTTCTAGAACACCATGTTGCTTAACTTACTGCTATTTGATAGCGCAGCATTACTAATCAAATAAGCCGCAGAATCGACGAAGTAGGTAGTGATGGGTACCGATATTTGAAGCAATCTTTTAGCATCCTTCTTAGCATAAAAATCTGGCCTGATCAATAATGCTCTGACCTAAACTCGGCTAAGACATTTTTCTACGAGTCCGTTCAGTGGAAAGCAGGTATCTTCTCTAGTAAGCTAATGACCGCAGTATGTCGCATCAGTGCCATTTCATGGGAACTGAAAGCAGCATTGGTCTGTTCCATTCATATGGAGTCGGGGTCTTCGCCATAAATCTATCTATAAAAGATTAAATGGTTTTAGATCAGATAAATGCAATCTTATATATAAATTGAACCTTAAGTTCAAAACCTCTATAAAAATTATTGTTATTATTGGTGTGTGGTGGTAGTTTTTCACCTCAAGTCTGCAATTTCGGCACTATGGTTTTTAATTCTTTATCCATACACGAACTCAACAATTATTCAATTCAATCATCAACCCTTTGTCCCTAAACAATTTTTTACATTATTATTGGTGGTGTCATAATGGTGTTATAATGTTATATCATTATACTGTATAATATTACGGTTGGATCTCCGACAGCTATTTGCAGTAAATGATTCTCAATTTTAAATTTCGCAATTTTTGTGGAAGGAGTGAAATATATTTTTCTTGAATATTTTTTTCGATATATGGTATTTATTTCTTTTCTCCAAGTGGACGTTATTATTACTGCCAATTGCAGAGTTGTCGGTAGTTAGCACATTCCTAACCTATGCCTGATTGCTGAACCATTGTGCTTGGGATTTGATTTACCTTCATTCGAGTCGCGTATCTTAAGACGAAACTGACCGACTTCTGGAGATTTCTATTGGGATCAGCACTTCTCGATATTGATGTTGCTAAAGTCCTTTAGGTATTTTATCCTCTCAATCTAAAATGTGTCGATTACCGTTAAATTTTTAGTCTAACTTTCTCTAACTTTGATATGTTACGACCTGTAGAAGTTGCCAGTTATAGTATCACGATATTCGTGATTATCAGTGAAAGTCTTTCAACGATGACTTATCAAACAATTAAAAGTCATCTGCAACGACAAAATTAGATATTGGTGACAAGAAAATCCATGCATCTGAGCAAACAATTATGCTTGAATCTGTTTTTATCCAGATCATTTGTGCATCATTTATATCGATGATATTCATAACTTGTCTTCAAAGCGAGTATATGTCAATCGGTCATTAAAAGAGACGTTTAGAACTGATTGCACCATTATCGGATAATCGTGATTCCATTTCCCTTTTGTTTCTATTTCTTTTTAAATTATCTGAAACATCATTGCCTCATCAGTGGCCCTTATTCGAGATAATGACTTGTGGATCCAGAACTGGGAAGATAGATCTCGGGTGAGATATCCACATTGAGAGATATCCATATTTGGATAAAACCATGTGATCCCTATGCGTGATCCCTATTACCTGACCGTTCACATCCATATAATGTATACTAATGTTCTGATGTTTCACATACTCAAACTCAAGGCTTCATACACATATACAGCTGGCAAAATTCCCTTAAGAGTTCTCTTCAGCTCGAGACTGTTAATGTTTTATGACCGATAATTTGCATATTTGTCGCATATGCATATGCCAATATTAAGAATAGCGTATGTGTCGGAATACGAGGACACCCCTTAACTACTGATCCATCAGCCATAGAAACATTTAGAGATAGTGGTCTAGGTGGCCTATTAAGTTTATTGCCATTCAGGCAAGCATAATTATACAAGATAAAAATTTTACGGAATTGTAGAAAAGAAATTTCTCTAATAATTCCACATTGTCCTTTAAATTTGTTAGATTCTATGGTTTTGTATAAGTGGTTCTTCGTAATTGTTGATCAAATATATACCAGTTTACAATCGATATAAATTTTTTTGCATTAAAAAAGTATAATGAAAATTTTTTTCTTTTCGCTACGCGAAGTTGAAGTGACCTTTTTTTTCTAAACGATGAACTGGAACCAACCGGAATATGAGGCTGCAGGTAAGCAAGTTGTTTAAGTAAGAATCGACAACTTGTATATTTCTATAGGCAAATGAAACTAAATATATCGCTGCTATGGTATGGAGATGGACGGATAGTTGAAGTGCCTTAAGATGATAAACAGAAGGATAAAATATAATCGATTAATGTTTTTAAGGAGAATTTTGCAAAAGTTTTTGTAGCAAATCATACTAAGTAAAGTAATGTTAATATTTGTACTGTGCAATTCGTGGGAAAGAAGAATAGAAAAATATCAAGAAGTTGAGGAAAAAAGAAAGGCTTCAGTTTTACAAATATTCATTCCTTTTTTTCCCTTTACAGATAATCAGTGTGGGTTATTCGACAACAATTCATCTGGTCTACTTCCAATCGAAGATACGTGTGGTTCACTTGAAAGAATGATTCAAAGCAACAGAAATTTCTTTCTGGATGATATAAGTAGATCGTCAGCAGCAATGAGTTAGTTTTCTTCGTTTCCCCTAGTTATTGCTCCTAGAGCCTTGAGGTTTATTCACATCTCAAGGCTTATTTATATTAAATTTTATGTATCATGTCGTAATCGTAGGCTCTATTGTTGTACAGTGAATTGAATACTAAATACTAGTAGAATAAATACTATAGTAGCATTGTTATCTTATCTCCTTAAATTTTGGTTTTTCAATAAATTTTTGATGATATGTGCAATCAATTAAAGGAACATATTACAGCGTTTAACTCTCGAAACTCCCAAGACTCGAATATATCAACGATGAATGATATGAAGCTATATGAAGTCAGAAAAGCTGATGAGCCAATTTATTCGCGAAAAGTTTTTGTTGGTGGTCTTCCTCGCGATTTTAACGCAAGTGAATTATTTTTTTCTGCTTGAATAACTTTTAAAGACTTAGTTTTCTTTTCATATTCTATTTTATTCCTTATATCACACTATTCAGCGAAAAAAAGATTTTACTCATTAGGAGCAGTGTGGAAAAATATTTATTGCTTAGATAGTACATACTAGGGTATCCTTTACTCCCTTATACCAATTATATACCACTTTTTTGCCAAGAAAGAGTTTATAAGTTTATAAATTATAAAATGATAAATAAACAGTGGTTATTTAAAAACAAATACTTAAGCATTTTTTAAGTATTTATTTATGCAATAACAACGCAATATTTTATGGATAAAAACTTTGCGGAAAAATTAAAAATATTATATTTTCATTTGGATATAGGATTATAAAAATAAAATAAGGATAATGATATTTTCAAAAAGAAGTAAAAGTAAAATTTTAACGCGAGATCGATATTTCTGCGTCTACAAATTCTGTTGATATTAGGTACAATTTTCGATAATCGAATGCTCATGTCAGATGAAGCTTATTTTTATATTTTATTTTATATTAAAAATTTTAATGAAAACATTGCAACATAATATGAAAATCGTAGACGGGAACCAATGCTTGAAATGCTTGATTTGACAGTGAGGCTGTGAAATATTCGAAAGTGGGCTATTCAACTCTGCCAGAATTCCTATTCATTTGCAATGCAATGAAACCACCTGGCTTAACTGTTAGAAAAAATGGATTTAAAAGTATTAGAGTTTTAGATTTTTTTATAAAGAAAGTAAAAATTTTCATACCTTTTTAGTTTCTACTGATGCTAATGCTTACTATCAGATTTTAAAAACATTATTTCGGATCTGTTCTTCGTAAGTTTTGGAAAATTGGAAAATCACAAAAATGTTGATTACAAATATGCTATTATTGTGAAATTGCATTGTAAAAGTATTAGAAATATTAGAAATTACAAATATATCTTCGAAAGTAATTGCTTTTACTTTCAATAATCCCTTTTTCAATCATAAATTCATGTAGATTTTTATAAGATATTTGAACTCTTAAAAATATTTAAAGATAAATTCTGAAGTTGTTAAAAGAAATGTTTATAAGAAAAAAGAATATGTAAAAATTATAACGCTAAAGTGCGATAAATAAAGTATTTTAATTTTATTAATTATATAATTATATAATATTAGATGATAAAAAACAGCAAATTAAAATTCATTTCCAATATCTCGACCTAATAATTATTAATTCTTCAACTTGCTGTATAGCTGCTAGATCTGGCCATTGACAGTGGATGATATTAAGAAGCTATCTACTCTTGGCCACTCATGTCTAAGATATATCTCACAGGCCAACCTGATAAAATCATATCGCGTGATTACATCCACTCTCGCTCAAATACGTTTTGCATCGATAGCACCATCACAGAACGCCGTCTTCCCTGGTTAGGACACGTTCTCCGTTATCCACCACAGGAATTGACACGTATTTCGTTACTTGCTAAATCTTTTGATGGATGACGTCAAAAGCAAGATGGTCCAATCAAGACCTGAACTGATACAATCAATAAAATAAAGTATATAGGTGCACCAGCGATATATGGACTTAGACAATGGAAAAAAGAATGGCCTCTATTACTGATGGCGTCGGACCGATAAGCTTGCCTTACCCTCGTAGTCAGCGAAGTCAGGCTAACCAATAATGGTGAGAGGTTAGAAGAAGAATTCCTCAACTTTCTCTATTTCCATTTCATGTCCTTTCTCCATTAAAGACGCACCTTCAGACCAAAGCAACCAAATTGAACAATGAGATCTTGGATCTATGTGAAAAAAAATTTGAGTAGACAAGCCGAGAATGGCGAATCGTTCGCCATTTTGGCTGTCGATTTCGACACCCCTCTGTGGCTCATGTAGCAACAATAGGGAGACAGAACAATAGGAATCAAGTTCGGCAAATTGTGATGTGGTACACATTGTGCACTAACAAGAGAGAAAAATTCATACTTGGTTTTCTCTTAAACAAATTCAAAAAATTTAATAAAGCAAAGCAAATTTTGTCGAATATTGAATAAATTTACAAAATAAAAAAAATTGAAGATGAATATATAAATACATTTCGGAAACTGTAGCCTAATTTTCTACCATTTCAAATATCATGGCTGTTGTACTGGTAAATCTTTCATCAAAAAGCAGTGTTTTATTGGTACTAGCGAAGACGAATATGTACAAATTATGCATCTGTATCTTGTAGAGAATTAATTGTTTAGGTTATTAGAATTTATTTAAAAAGCCAATGTAAATCATGATTTATATATTATATATTAAATAGATGCCATCAAAAAATTTTTTGATCAATTTGGTACTGCGACTGTGGATTGGCCCTATCGTGATCGAAATAGCACCAACATACCAAATGGTTTGTTTTCTTTCTATTTCACCTAATAAACAATATTTTAAACTTTAAAAAATAATTAAAATCTTGTCAAGAAAATTTTAAGGTTATGTATTCGTGGTATTCGCCAATAATTTGTCGGTTCAAAGCCTCATTGAAAATTGCACCTTGCACCAAGGGAAGCTAAGCATTATTCTAAAAAATAAAAATGAAAATATAAAAATGGTAAAAATTTTATTCTAGAACTTGCACTTGATTTAAATTCGTTTCAAGTTTCCAAATTTTCTGGAAGCTATTAAGTCAGTTCCAGGTCGAAATTAGACCATGGCTACTTTCCGATCAAGAATATCGAATATCTCGAACAGCCATTAACAGACATTATTCTATTTTTGTTGGTGGCGTTCCTCGAACGACAACTGCAAGTAAGTTAATTGAACCATCTCGTAAATTGCTTAAAATTTGCAAATTTACTCTTCGATATTCCTTGACTATAGTTTTCTTCTGAGCATGGTTATTTTGTATTTGCAGAGGAATTGGCAGTAGTTATTCAGCAAGCAATTGGATACGTATTACTAGTAACTTTGGAGGTCGATTCAGATACACAATATCCGAAAGGTGCAGCTCGAGTTGTACTGGCAAATCGCGAAGCTTATGTAACCGCGATTGCAATGAGATTCATTAAAATGATTAAAATTGAGCAAGAAAAAGAAGTTCGGTTTTCAGCATCTAAAAAAACATTTTTCGAATATATTTGTACCTAAGAATTTTAAATTATAGCGGCAAACGCAGAATTTTTTTTGATTTTTTTCTTTGATTTTTGACTTTTTTAATTGCTGGCAAATGAGTAGCAAATTTTTTTCAGATGGAAATAAAACCATTTTTACAAGATTTTGCGCAGTGCGAAGAATGCCAGTTATTATTTACTCGCCATTTTTGCGCAGAAGTTTGTTGTTTAGTTTATCTATGTGAATCATGTTGGTTGAGAATTCATAATTCACGAGGTTTGATCGGCCATAAGCCAATGCTCAAAGGCCGTCATAAAATGAAGACTCAAAATGTTGAACAGATGCCTTTGCGTTTTTTAAATGCAAATTCGCTTCAATATCAGCAGTCCCACAAGCAACAACGAAAACAATGTCAGCAACAACTACAACAGCAAAAACAGCGACAACAACCTTTGCAGGGGCAAAATTCGTATGGCAGAAATCGTGTTTACTATTCAAATAAAGAATACCAAGCAAATACCAACCAAAATCGTCAGTTTTTTCTTAAATAGTTCTATATTAATTATATTATATTAATTTTTATTGTTCAGTTCTTTCACAAAATCGAGAAAAAGCTTTTTTTACTTTATTGAACCATTGTTGAGTTGAATATTTTTCGGTTTAGAAAAAATTATACGTTAGATTCCTATTAAGAATGAATGGTGAATGGCTGCTGTAGCCTGCATACCTCTAAATATTTCCATAATTATTCTAGAAGTATCTCATTCTAGTAATTAGTGGAATCAATCAAAATGTACCATGCTGTTAAAAGTACAAGTCGATTTATCTATTCAATAAAGGCTGAGAGAAAATCTATTTATCGGCCGTTTTTTTCGTATGGGCTAGATTTTATTCATTTTACAAATTTTTTGTATTGAAAAAATGGTTTATTGCAGGAAAAGGATCGGTTCATTCTACATATACCTCGTCATTTCGAAATGTTAACCATTAATTTTCAAAAAACACTTTTTACGTGAAAAACTTTTCTCACGTCGGTTTAATTATAATACCGACATAAAAAACTTGGTTTAATTATTATATTTTAATTTTCTTTTTTTTCATAGCTACAATAATGTTCAAGATTAGTATTTTTTCTCTGTAATTTTTCTCTGGAAAAATGATTATTTTAGATTCTCGTTTTTTTAAACTTTATTTTGGATTCTTGTAATTTTTTAAAATTAGTCATTCCTTTTATTCGATTATGACATCTAACTCAATATATTTGCTTGCTTTCAAGTTTGTCGAAAATTTTCGCATTAATTTTCTTATCTTGTCATTTTATTCATTTTGTGGATTGTAAATTTTATTGAAGATGCGTTAAGTCTGGATTTTTTGCATCATATGATCCATTGTGAATCCGTGAATTTTTCAGAATATTTCAGTGTTTTTGATTTTAATGTTGAATTTTTTTTCAAGCAATTTATTTTTAGAAATTTAGAAATGTATTTCATCTTTTTATTCTCTTCAATAGAATTGAAGAAATATTATTGCTTATTTCCTTGTTTTCTAAGAATTTTTTTTCGTTCATTCAGTATATAATAAATTGTTTTTTTAAAGGTCTTTTCAAAAGGATGATTTCCATCCTCAATGGGAGTGAACTTGAATTAAATCAGAAATTCTAACGAGCCTATCATTCTTCCCAACATACCTAAAGTGATTTCATGGGAAAAGATAAATGAGAAATGATGGAATTTTTAAATCTTTTGGCTTCTCGGTTTGCTAAAAAAATTGCCTTAGTTGTTACTGGTATATTAACACTTTCATAGATATATCATTGATATCATTGTAGAAAAAAATACATCAATTCAAACAGTTATAATCTATGACTTTTAAAATTTTAAAATATATTTTAAAAAATTAATTTAAAAACATTAATTTTTTTCTTAAATACAAATGCATTTCATAAATTATCGAAAATGCTAAAATTAAATTAAATCAATTCCAATTTTAAATAATAATAATTTGAGAAAAAAATATAATATAATCTTATAATCTTTTAAGTACAAAAAAGAATTTAAAAAAATATCAATCAATATTATCAAAAAAAACCTTCACTGTGATAAAAAAATTTTTTTAAAAGTTTGAAAGAAAATTTTTATACAACTTATGAAAATATTTTTATATGAGTTTTCGTTGGGAAAGCAGTGAAAATAAAATAAGAAATCCCTAATAAAAAATAAATGAAATAAAACGAATTGCGGAAAATCCAAAATTTATAACCATTAGGGATCGTAATGAACTTCGCGAAAGATATTCAAGAATTAATCGCTTTTTAGGTGCAAATGAAAGCACATTGGTCCAAAATGCCAGAAATTATATCACTTCCAAGCTTCAAGCGGTGAAAAGGGACCGAGGAATAAGAATGCAGCGACGAAGGTCCTTTCAACATCCTCAAAAGCCAAAGATTTTAATAAAAATATGAAGTAAATTTTTTTTCAAATTCGGAAAAACACATCAATCATTCATATAAGCTTAGCTAGAAGTTTCAACCGTTTCCACATTCTTTTTATGTATTAATCAAGAAGTGCTAAATAACTGAAGTACTGAAATTTACTCAATTCACTTTCTTTCCTTATCACTTTTTGCACAAAAAATATTGCCAAGATCGAATGATAAGCCGCAGTAATAATTCAAAATACCACCATAATGATATCGCACATCTGATTACTGAGATTATCAGTAAGCGATTAAAAATGCTGATTTGGCTGACTTAGTGGTTCGGATAATCTTTCCTAGTTGTGTGCCTAAGCGTTTAGTCCGCATCTCGATTGGCCTTCCTCGTTTCTTTCTCTATCGAGAATTTGGCTAGAAGATAGAAAAGAAAAAGAGGGAAATTTCTGCGCATACATTTTATTAATATATTTTCATATAAATTTATTCATTCATTTATTTGATTTCTCACTATTTCATGTTTTCGATTTAACATTTCAATCACATTTATTTAATGAAAAAAATATATATTTTTTTTTAAATTATAAAATATTCATTAATGGAATGATTAGCGCTTAATTGAGTTTTTATCACTAAGCGAATAAAAAATGAAAAAAAATTTTACGAAGAGATTTCGCGTTGAAAATACATAAACGAGAATTTTTTTTTCGATATTTTCAAAATTTTTTTTTAAAACTAATTTATAGCAAAAAAATATTCATTCCTCTTCAATTCATGACGAATTTATAATCGAATCGAATTTATCCAATCCGAGGAAAATGATAATAGGACGGTCGATTAAGAGCGAGTTTTGTGAGGCGAACTGCAGCAAGCACACATTCTTGATTGATAAGAATGTACTGCGAATCACACTGGCATTTCGAAATTGTGCGGCAATTCTCGTAGCGGCCAGAAAATAAATTGATTTCACAACGAGAAAAATAATGTTTATTCTCTCCACAACTGAATTTTTGTAAAAACGGATTCACAACTGAACTTATTAAAAGAATCTGCAAATATTAGATTATTAGTCGCCTTAAAAAATCTTAAATCTTAAAAAAAAAACTAATTTGCAAAAATTATTGCAAATAAAAATTTCGAAATTCATAATTTCGCTAAAAAAATGGATTTTATTTAGAAAAAAACTATGAACAAAACAACCGTTAAGGCGATTTGAGCGACGGTCATCGCCGGAAAGATAAATTCGCTAATTAATATAAAAGGGTGGATTAACTATTTTTATAATAAATATAGTAAATAAATTCAGTGAAGCAAAAATCAACTCCTCGTTAATGAATTCATAACAAATTCTCGGATGAAATTTCTGACGAGCTCTGACAATTGATCGTAGATGGACGATCCTCGATGAATAAATAACTCTTAAGGTAAATTTTAAACAAATTCGCTCCTTTATTTCCCTTTTTTTGTATTCTTTAATTATTATTTTATTTTAATCAAAAATTTTTTATTCAATTACTCAGTTTGAATTATCGAATCGAATTTTTTACAATAAAACTGAAAGAATTTATGTAAAAAAAAAAATGATTCCAGAAAAAATTAAAATCTCAAAAAAAATATGAAAAATTTTAAAACATTAATATTATATAATTAATATTAATATTCGTTTTATTTAATCTTAATAAATTATTTTAATAAAATTTACAAAATTTTATTCAATTTAAAAACTCATTTTTTTCAAAAAAAGATTGCTTTCTGCGATAAAAGATCACTAAATAAATTTTCAGCTAATTAAGAAATATTGTTCAAATATTTATTTCATCTAAAGTTGATTATTTTTTCACATTTAATTTAATGTTCTTCAATTATTGAGGAGGCAAAGCAGAGACGCTTAATGAATGTGGAATTATCGTTATAGATTATGATAAATACCTATACCTGTGATAAATACCTATGATAAATACCTAATTCCGCAAATGCCAATAAAAGCAGATGAATTAGTTGAAGTTGTAAAGAATATACGAAATCCTCGTGAAAAAAACGAACCTATGGATGGACAAAGCCGTCTTTAAACATGCTTTATTTTTGTAGCTTAAATTATGATCGTAGTCGCCTGTAAGCAATGAAATGGAGTAGTACTTGGAGTAGCTATGCTTCAACGTTGTATATATAATTCTGCTTGCGTTTTACATTCTGCCCTTGGGCTATGACTGTTTGGTGTTTTATATATATATATATATATAGAATGGCTGAGTGGGTTATTGTTCAATTCCGAGCGCCAATGCTGATGTTCTATTTCTCCGCAGGAGTAAATCAAGAATTCCTAGAAATCAGGGTGGCTCATCTGTACTTCTATCTCCAGTGGTCTCCCTGTCATACTTGTCCAGAGCGACAAATTTGCAGAGTGAATTCAACCAGTGCTGGTAAAGATTCTTTAAAAAAATATATATTTTATTTCCTAATAAAACAAATATTGAGAAGGCACTTTTATTTATATATGTATATGTATACATATATATAAAAATCATCCACAAATTTACAGGTATTGAAATTAATACTAATAATACTAATACTAATACTAATAATACTAATATAAAATTAATACTAATATTGAAATTAATACTAAAAAAAAGATCCGTAAAACAATAATTTCCTTTCTTTTTGTTTTCCTAAATTCCACCAAATTTTTCCAAGCATTTTATTATTTTATTAACATTTTTATTTGTTACATATATTTATTACTATTTATTATTTATTAACAATATTATTCTTTATTAATATTTCGTTTTTTATTTTTTCATATGAACCATTCTGAACAACGATTAAAGTTGATAATAGTCAACCACGACAAATTACCCTTTATTTTCAAAAGTGTAATGTTTTCTTCATATCAATTCTAAAGGATTCGATCTTCCTAATCTTTTTATTAATGCTACTATAATTAGAGGAGTATATAAGCTAAATATATATAAATATATAGAGATATATAAGCTAAATATATTATTTTCGTTTAAGAACAAAACTGGAAATTTTCTTATCAAAATATACAGAACGATCTCTTTTTGAATAAAATAAACCTGTTATTCTCGGAGATACCGCTAACCAAATAAAATTATCGAAGGACTCTAAATATTTTTTATATGTCGTCTTCTCCTAATAGCAATTTTAATTATAAAAGAAAACTTTTACAATACAACCTGAATTCTCTCTCAGTTC